TTTCCGAGGCGGTAAATCTTTATGGAAGTAGATTGTCCAGTCTTCCTTCCATGGAGTAACTGGTGGGTTTGAACCACCAACCTTCTGATTAGCAGTCAAATTCCTTAGGCACTGCGTCACCAGAGCTCCTTGTAGCAGGCAATTTCTAATCGCCTCCATGAACCATGAGACCAGAACAACTGGATTGTGCCTGGCTACCATCATTGAATGTTTTGATCAAAGATTCTATAGAAGAATCCTGATCAGAAGGGAGAAAATGTTGAAAAGAATTTGAAATTCTCATGGAATCTATACTTTCTGGAGCCACTGAGGTGGAATGAACCTCTGAAACTATTGTCGAGATACTCCTTAAACTTTAAACCTTAAACCAAAAATATCCCCTGAAGTCTTCTTAAAACCAAACAACAATAATGGGAGAAAAAAAAAAAAAACCCCAAACTCAACACTGTCAAGTTGGATCTGACTCATAGCAACCTCTCCTTGGGTTTCTGAGGCAGTATCACTACGGAAGTAGATTGCCCAACCTCCCTTTGAAGGAGTGGCTGGTGGGTTTGAACCAGCCTTCAAACAACAGTCTAGCTTAATTATTAACTAGTAAAGAATGTCCGCCTTAAGCATACTGCTCTTCTAAGCAGTGTCTTTATGAGATTAAATCAACAACAGCAACTCAAAAGTTTAGGTAAGAAACTTAGGGGACAGTGAGTTTATGTTAATAGGGGAGGAACAATTTGGAAAAAGAGGGTGAGAATGGTTGCCTAACTTAAGAATGTAAATCAATGTCACTGAAATGTACATGTAGAAATTGTTGAGTTAGTGTTACATTCTGCTATGCACAGTCTGAACAACAACAACAAAATTAACTAAATTAAAAAGGCCACTCCCAGCTCCTGGAGCGCATGTGGCTTCTGCGGCACCAGACTCAGCAGTAAAGGCATGAAGGCAGGCTCTTTCTGCATCTGGGTCCGTGGCAGTTAGCAGCACAGAGACAAAGGACTTCACTATTCATGTCACAGCAAGTGGCAAGAGCATCATGTTACAGCTGTTCCCCTTGTCCCCAAGTCTCATGAGAGTCAACAGAGGAGCCCAGGTAGATGTTACCCACAAAGTGGGGTTGTGTCCCAACCAACCAAGGAAGACTGAGATTGAGGAGCCCACAACTTTTCCCCCCCACCACTTTCAAAGAGTTCACGTTGCTTGGTTGTACAAT